GATGCCCCCTTTGGAAGCTCCACTCTCTGAGGAAGAAAATCCTGGTTGTCCTTCGTGTAGATCCTTGAGAAAGAACTCTGGAGGAAGGTTAGCAATCCAGATGAACGGGCTGTCTATGTAAACCCACATACGCATGATCAGAGCAGCTCAAGTTTCAGGTGACTTCTCGAGGCTCTTTGTCATTGTTAGACTGAAGTAAAGCCAACCAAGAGGGCAGGAATAGTTTACGCAGCATAATACAGTAAGTGAATGGCTTTTCCAAGGCTAAAGTATGGGCCATGGGGGCCATCTTGCTCCACCTGTAGCATTTCTTCTGCTTGGCGATCTGGCAGAATTGGCCTGCGTGGGGTGGGGCTGCAAGCCTTCCTGGGTCAACAGCAGACCTTGCAGATGGTTTCTTGAAAACCACGTCCTTGACTTCACAAGTACAAGTGAACAGATTCACCCATCATTTGTGGGCGGTGGGCTGGTTCAGAGCACAGTCTCAGGCTGACTCTTGACATATGGTCTGACATTTGAAATGGAGAACACCCTGCCTTTCGCTCACAGAAATGAATCTAACACAGTCCTTGTTTCCTGGAGACGTTCTGCTGCTGGAATATGGCTATTTGTAGAGAAATTAGCAGTGATGAGCTAATAATCTATTTTAGAAAACTGAACTCAGATCTTGAAAGGGCTATTTTAAACTTGCCCTTAATTGTTCAATTCCATAATGGCCTCTTGGTATTTTTCTTTTGAGAACTGCCATGGGTAGGCTTCCAACTGTCTAGCAATGTGTATTCCACAGAGGAGGCCACGCCCTTCTGGGGTACACACTACAGCATTAATGATGGATGAGACTATCCAGAGTACACTCAGTTGTGTTGCTAAATGTTTTTTGAAAACATTTTTAGCCATTCACTCATTTTTAGTGTCAGATGGAAGTGTCTAATAAACTCACATCACTTTGGTTGTCTTCGTCTATTTTGGAATGAAATCATCTATGGGAATCTTGGCAACATGTATAACAGAGGAACGGAAAACCTCACAACTAGCACATAAAAGACAGACAGGCAACTGACAAGTAGCCCAGCCCAGCTATCGACCATCGCTGATCTGTCTTAGCACATTCAGCCTCCTGGAATTTACATGTTGATCTACATCATTCCGCTGGTGCAAAAAAAAGTAACTCGTATCACTTATATAGTAGCTTATATCATTTATGTAGTTGTTTATGTAGAGTTTTGATACAGTTCTTTGTGTCATTCCTAGTATTGCATACACCCTTTCTTCTGTTGGGAAGTATTTTTGGTTGCTATCTGTTTTGAATCCTATATAGTATAGGATGATTAGTAACTGGACACTGGTAGATTGCTTTGCTTTTGATTCTAAACAGTAAACAGATCTCAATGGACTCAGAAGTTATCATAAAAACAATGACTGTGTGTGGGCAGTCTGAATATTAGATCATTCCAGTTGGGCTCCTTTTTCCAGGGGTAATCCTTGGAGGCCAATTCTCTGAGCAAAACCAGGGGTGTCCTGGCCATACACAGGACAGTGTGGTGAAATGACCACAGTGACCTTGAAGCCTTCAGGGTCACTGACAGATGCTGCCTTCCAAGCTGCCCTCATGACTACTAAACGCCAAACCTTGCATAGCAGCTCCAAAATCTATTGTCTCGATCACTCTCCTGAAATAATAGCCAGACACCAGCAACATTCTTAAAACCAAAATTGGATTGCTTAGCTCCAGTCTAGCTGGGGAAGTTGTAGGGAGGAAAAGAACTCTTTTCTCTGACCCCTATAGGTTCAACAACTAAGTCTTCTGAGCAAACTGACAATGGATGGGTCAGCAGGGGAGAAGGCTTGGGGGCCACCGTAATGTGAACCTGAAGCAGGGCTCCAGGGTTGAAGCTTGAATACTCTTTGATGGAAGAGAGAGAGGGAAGTGGGCGTCCCAGGCCATTTTGGAGGAAACGTGTTTTTAGGAGAGGTGGATGGGCCTGAAGAATAGACAGCAGGCTGGAGACAGTGTTGCCCTGGGTACTAAGTGTGGGGTCGACCATACTCTTCCTTCTTGCCAGTTAATCCCATAGAGGATCTGGCCTTAGTCAGAGAAGGGAACTTTCGAGAAAGCCCCTTCCTGTGTATGAGGATGGAGTGTGAGAGACGGGAGCAGGGAGGGTGTGGAGAGGGTGAGACTTCAGTGCTCCTGCCGCTCCATGCCCTTGGCAGGTTGGTGCATGATTTGGGCTATTGGTTTCTGGCTTGCTTTAAGAGTCTCTGTAGCAGTTCTCTAGCACTTGCCTGCAATGCCATGTTACACCATTTTCAGCTCTCTCCTTTGAAAAAAAAAAATAGTAGAGCTGGGCGCCGGTGGCTCACACCTGTCATCCTAGCTACTCAGGAGGCTGAGATCTGAGGATCGTGGTTCAAAGCCAGCCTGGGCAGGAAAGTCTGTGAGACTCTTATCTCCAATAAACCACCAGAAAACTGGAAGTGGTGCTATGGCTCAAGTGGTAGAGCTCTACCTTGAGCCTTGAGTTGAAGGACAGCATTCAGGCCCAGAGTTTAAGCCCCATGACTGACAAAAAAAACCCCAAAAACGTGATACTTAGATTTGAACTCAGCTTCAAGTTTGCTAAGCAGCAGTTCTACCACTTGTCCCATACCTCCAGGCCTTTATCCTGTTGGCAATTCTGAAATAGGATCTGCTGTCTAGGCCAACCTAGACAGCAGCCCTCTTGTTATGCTTCTCACCCTAGCTGAAATGGCAGACATGTAACACCACACCTAGCTTGTTCTGTTGGGAAGGGGTCTGGAATTCCAGTCCTCCGCATCCCAGTCTACCACATAGCGGGGGATGGCTGAGGGAGCACCACTGTGCCCAGATATTGGTTCAGATGGATTTTTCATCTTTCTTTTTTATTTTTCTGGGCAGGCTGTGAACAGTGACCCTACTGATCTCCACCTCTTAAGACACTGGCACATTTTATATTTTCACCTGATTAGTCCTCACAACTTGATGAAATAGGTACTTTTCACAAACTCATTTTACAGATGAGGACATGGAGATCTATGAGAGATGAAGTAACTTGCCCTGAAGAGCAGAGGCAGTGGGTGCAGAGCTGGGATTATGAGTGAGCATTTTGCAGGTGCTGGTGGCTCATACTTATAACCCTAGCTACTCAGGAGGCTGAGATCTGAGGATCCACATCTGAAGCCAGCCCAGGCAGGAAAGTCCATGGGACTCTTATTGCCGTCAAAAAGCTGGAAATGGAGCTGTGGCTCAAGTAGTAAAGCACTAGCTTTGAGCTAAACAGCAGCACAGAGACAGCATCCGGATCCTGAGTTCAAGACCCAGGAGTACAAAAACAGAAAGGGAAGGAAGGAAGGAAGGAAGGAAGGAAGGAAGGAAGGAAGGAAGGAAGGAAGGAAGGAAGGAAGGGAGGGAGGGAGGGAGGGAGGAAGGAAGGAAGGAAGAAAGGAAGGAAGAAAGGAAGGAGGGAGGGAGGCAGGGAGGGAGGGGGGAGGGAGGGAAGGAAGGAGGGAGGGAAGGAAGGAAGGAAGGAAGGAAGGAAGGAAGGAAGGAAGGAAGGAAAGAAGGAAGGAAGGAAGGAAAGAAAGAGAAGGAAGTAGGCACTGTGCATAAACAACCTCTTTTCCTAATTCCACTTTAGTGCAGTCTCCCATGAGGATGCCTGCCTGTGAGCGAGTGTTTTCTCAGTGGAGGCTGTGGAGACTAGATGGCACTAATTGCTGCATGTTCTGAGGAAAAACCATGTCCTCTGTGCATCCTTCCCTCGCCATACCTTTCTTGCAGCACTGTATTCCTTTATGGAATACATCCTTTGTGGAAAACTGTAGTCTCTCTTTGTCCTTGTACTTGCCCCATGATTCTTCACATGTTTCCCAGGCAAAAATGAGTCATCTGAGCCACGAGAGTTCACCTATGGCAGTTAGAGGAAGGCTCAGCCCCTCCTTGCCATTCCATAAATCTGTGTTGAGGACATGAATAAATGGGTGAAAGTCCATTTTGTGTCCAGGCTTAAGGCATAGAAAGTTTGTTGTTTACTTTAAAAAAAGAGAGGAAACCCCTGCATTTAATCTCAGCTTTTATTTTTAGTAGAGACTGCAGGTATGAAAGACGGTTACATTTCCCTGTTGGCTGCTGCTCCTCTGAGTGTCTTTTTGATACTATGCCTTTTCATACTATGCACTTTCATAAAGTGCCCAATGTCTTTACCAATGAAATACCAAGTTATGAGAGCCTTTAACTTGCCTAGGATCATGTTCTGAGAAATCCTATCTCCTATACACATAAAAAGGAATCCCCAAGTCCCTGAATCTGTGGGTTCAGGGTTCTGTTTCTGTGGTCTGTTGAGGGGAAAGCTGGGAGAAAATGAGGGAGAGGATGACACTGTTGAAAAAGAAATGTACTCCTCACCCGACTTACGTAACTGTAACCTCTCAATACGTCACCCTTACAATAAACTTTAAACAAATTAACCTTTCTGAGGAGGTTTATTAATAAAACCCTCTGTCATGCTTGTCTGTTCAGAGGACCTCTTCTATATTAATGCATAGGAAACAAAGGCAACCTGAGATATCTAGCTATAAGGATTCTGAAGATGAGTAATGGGGAAAGGGAATCACTTGGTAGAAACTTCACTTCCGGTAACCAAGTACCAGATTCTGTCCATAGGATGCTCATTGGTTCATCATTTTGTAGAGAACCAGAAGACAAACAGTGTGTATGTGTTCTCCACAGAGACTTTTGGCCATTTTCATCATTGTTGTTCTTTAGACAGTGTTTTAGGTCGTATGTCTCTAAAGTTTAGTGAGCCCCCACCTCAAAGATACTTTTTCTCTCACCAATTCAGAAATAGACTACAAGGTGCCCTCTCATCTCTACAACTGCCTTCAGAGGTTCAGAGGTTCAGAGAGCTCCCACGATATTCATGTGAGTCTGTGTTTTTAATATTCCTAATGGATATTTTGTTTTGTGTTGCCTTTCTTAGGTTTGCTGGGATGGGAAACCTGCTTAAAGTCCTGACCAGGGAAATTGAGAACTATCCACATTTTTTCCTGGATTTTGAAAGTAAGTGTGCAAATTTATTACAATGAAATAATGGAAACCTTTCATTTTCTCTATAGCTAATTCATTAGGAGGTGATAACAATTGTTATATGCTATATCAGCCACGTTCAATTGAAATTCTACATTTCTTTTTTGAGATTATTTTTAAAATCATTTTTATTCTCTTTCTTTCCCAGATTTGTAGAAATTGAATGGCGAGTCTTTTCCATTTCTTTCTTTGGTTTTAGAAGTGATCAGCCTTGATAGGCCTAAGACACATCATGATAGAGGTTTTTTAAATTTTTTAAATGAATTAATTTCTCACATTCGAAAGAAAAATAATAAGTGTTAATTTTCACAGAATAATGTAAAATATCTCTGACTATGGAAGAAAAAGAGTGATTGATACTGATACAAAGCTTATAGATTTTTTCCCTGTTATCTCCAGCTCTTTGTTTCTGTTTTCAGGACTGAGTTTTAAAGTCAGGATCTCAATGGCACTCTACCATTTGAGCCAGGTCCCCAGGCATTTTGCTGTTAGTTGGTTTCAATTGGTTTAATATTTTACCAGGGCTGGCCTCAAAACACACTTGCAACCCTCCTATCTCTAGCTCCTGAGCGTCTGGCATTGCAAGTGTGTGCCACTGCACCTGGATCCTCTCTCCTATTCTTTATGTAGTTTATGATTGTTTAAAACTATTTCAGGATTTAACGATATGATTACGCCCTTTATCCAAAAGATTGTCTTCTCTACAAAAATCATTAAACTTTCTTCTGAGTGAAAATAGCTTAGAAAGCATGACTGTATGAGCACAGAGGTTCCTGTTTGGTTTGGTTTGTTTTGTTTGTTTTGCCAGTCCTGGGGTTTGAACTCAGTGCCTGAGCGTTGTTCCTGAGCCTCTTTCTGCTCAAGGCTAGCGATCTACCACTTGAGTCAGAGCACCACTTCCGGAGTTTTATGAGTTTATTGTTTATTGGAGATATGAGTTTTATAGTTTATTGGAGATAAGAGTCTCACAGACTTTCCTGCTTGGGCTGGCTTTGAACTGCTATCCTTGGATCTCAGCCTCCTGAGTAGCTAGGATTATAGGCGTGAGCCACACCGGTGCCTGGCTTGGTTTATTTTTTGATTGAGTATATGTACAAATGAGTGACATGTTTATGTTTGTTAAAACTAAGCTTGTATTTCCCTTTTTACTCTCGTGTCTTCTCTTTTTTAAAATTTTAATTCTAGAATATCAAGCCTAGCTTGTGATAGTCTCACATCTAGGCAGGCACTGGTGTCTTACACCTGTAATCCCAGCTAATTGTTTGGCTGAGAATGGAATGAAGCTCCAGACATGCCTGGCTAAAAAAGACTACCAGACTCAGTCTTCTCAGAAGGAAGCTGGAGGTGGTAGGTCATGCTTGTAGTCCCAGCAATGGTGGGAAGCCTAAAGTAGGCAGATCACAGTTCAGGCCTGTGCTTGTGTAGGAAGTGAGACTCTATCCCAAAAAGAGCCAATGAAAACCAGGGATGGTGGCTCAGCAGTAAGAATACCAGCCTAGTAAGTGTGAGGCACCGAAGTCAAAGGCCAGTACCACCCAAAAACAAAAAGAGAGAAGAGCTGGCACAAATAGACTAAAACTTCTAACAATGGTTTGCCACGTAAGTGCCAAGAGGTCTTCTCCACGTGAACTAAACTGAAGACTCGGGGTGAACAAGTTGACACACAAGCACGTAGACTCAGTGCCCTTGGTATATTTAAACTAGACACTGGAAGTGTCCCCACAGCTCATACATTTAGAAAAATAAAAATCTAGATCATGGTCACTGTAAGATGCCGCATTGCTGTCTTCACTCGGTGTCGCCATTGTCATTCATGATGTTGTGATTTGGCTTAGTTCGGCATAAATGTCAGGTAGGGTCAAGAGCCTGATTGATTTGCTACGTTAAAATCAAAGATTGAAAGAAAATATCAACCTGGGAGTTGATAAAAGTATATAAAACTCTATTTCTTTTCCCAAGGAGAAAAAGCGAAGGGAATTAGTTCCCTTAGGTTCCTAAGGCAAACTGTATCCCACAGAGACTCTGGGCAGGCGCTGTGCCAGGCTGAAGTTCCCATGGTGGGTTAGGAGGTTGAGATGGGAACACAGGTCTATGTCTCCTCTCCCCCGCCATGCTGCACATACCTTCCTCAAAGTACACACCATCATTCAATTCCTGACTAGAAGTGTGTTTGTTGTCTACAAAGACACACCCAATTTCAGCTTTCTGGTTCAAAAAATCCTCTTTGTAATGGAGCTTTTCAAGAAACAATTATGGCAGGCTGCAGAGAGAGGGAACAGGGGAGGGGAGCATGATTTTCTCTGAGTCTGTATATTTCAGCTCAACTCAGTGAGGCAGAGTTGTGTATAATTATCACATCCTCAGAGGCTACATGATGAGCCTGGTGGCTCACTCCTGTAAGCCTAGCTACTCAGGATGCTGAGATCTGAGGCTCTGAGCAAAGCCAGCCTAGGCAGACAAATTCAGGAGACTCTTAACTCTAATGAACCAGCAAAATGCTGGAAGTAGAGGTATGGTTCAGGTGGTAGAACACCGGCCTTGAATGAAAAATCTAAGCAACAGCACAAGACCCTGATTTCAAACCCCAGTACTGGAACACACATGTGCACATGTACACACACACACACACACACACACACACACACAATGAAATAACAGTGTTGAAAGCAGTCGTTGCCTAAGGAAGCCTCAGAATAGACAGTTGAAGATAAAGTAAATTCGGGGTTTTAACAGAGGCATCTGTAGCAGGGAGTGAAGAAGGAAAGAGAATGTAGCTATCTAGCTGTTAGAAATGGAAGGCTATGGAAGGAATTGGAAAGCTCTTCTTGCAACAGGTGGCATTCTGAAAGGACTCTAAAGAATGTTAGTTTTTAGAAGCAGAAAGGGGAAGAGGACTTTTTCAATAAATGGAGACAGGATGATTAAGGGCATAGAGACTGGACTAGGAAGAGCTTGTTTGAAGAACAGCAAGCAGTACAATTTTGACAGAGTACCAAATGTCTGGTGAGAAGAAATAGGGGCAGAGTGGAAGGCTGGCTTGGGTTAGACCATGGCCGATTCTCCCTGCATTGCTCAGGGCTAGAAGGAAGCCATTGTGATTGATTGCTAAATAGAAGAGCAAGAATCCCTGTGGGAAATTGAGAGAGTAGACAGGATCATGAAGATGAGAATGAATTATGTCTATGATTGCAAGAGCTTGGGGAAGCAGAAGATCTGGAGAGGAGGCTACATCGTGGAGATAAGAGGTCTACGCACTGAAGTTCCAGAAGGCTTGAACTCTCCTTGGTTTATGTGATCCAGTACTTTGCCCTACATTGAACAGCACCACACGAACCTCAGTAAGACATAGGTCATGTGGAAGAATAACAGAGGGGGTAACTAAACCCAGCAGTCCAAGAGCTCAGAAGGAGGCAGGACACTTGGGTTCAGACACCACAATGCACTCAGAAAAGATCAAACTTAAAAAGACGATGATCTTGCTGGATGCTGGTGGCTCACACCTACAATCCTAGGCAGTCAGGAGGATGAGACTTGAGGATCATGGTTAGAAGCCAACACAGGCAGACGAATCCAAGAAACTCTTACCTCCAATTAACTAGTATAAAGCAAAACACTAGAAGTGGAAATATAGCTCAAATAGTAGAACTCATTTTTGTTTGTTTGGGGTTTTTTTTGGTGGTCATGGGGCTTGAACGCTGGGCCTGGGCACTGTCCCTCAGCTCTTCAGCTCAAGGCTAGAGCTCTACCACTTGAGCCACAGCACCACTTCTGGCTTTTTCTGTGTATGTGGTGCAGAGGAATCGAACCCAGGGCTTCATGTATGTGAGGCAAGCACTCTACCACTGAGCCACCTGCCCAGCAACTCAGGGTTGTTGTTTTTTTAATTGCTGTTTTTGTTTTTGGTCTGACACCAGGACTCAAACTCACTGTCTGATGCTTTCACTCTACCACCCAAGCCATACTTCCAACCCCTGAACCTAGTTTTGAGCACAAAAATTAAAAGAAGAAGCCAAACAAGAGCACAATGCCCTGAGTTTAATACCAACACCAAGAAAAGATGAGGTAGGGGGGTGATCAGTTGGACAGTGAGTGCCATTGGGAAAGCTTTGGATTTGCACACGGAGGCTGGGTGGTAAAGAGTTAAGGCGTGTGGGGTCGAGGGAGGAAGGAAGCCTGGAAGCGTGTAGTAATAGCTTAAGTGAATTTGGCACCTCTGCTTTCAGTGTTGAATATTCTTTTTGAAGTCAGTGATGGGATATAATTGAACTAGGTCTAATAGATATAATTTAAGCTAGGTCAAAACACAACACAAAATTAGACACATCTGTCCTTAGGTTTTCTAGTTGCAATAATACCATTCAAATTCCTGTTGACCTTTGAAGTGAATTCCGTACGTTCTGCTCACACTTTTCCACAACCATTTTGCATCTTTTTTCATCCCCCTACTTTTTTTTCTTTTTCTTTCTTTGCTGCTTTGCCGTGCCTTCATTTCTCCTCTGAAGGCTGGGAGACAGGAGAGAAAAGAATACATTAATTCAACTCTCCCCATTCTTTCTTCTTTCTCTTTTCTTTTCCTCTTTTTTCTCTTCCTCCCTCTCCCTTAGAGGTACAGGGAATTGAAGTCAGAGCCTTGTTTGCTAGGCAAGTATTCTTCCACACGAATCACTAGTTTTCAGATAGGATCTGGAGCTTTTTATGTGACAAGATCACAGGAGTGCATAGCCATACCCTGCTTATTTTCTGATATGGGGTCTCTTAGGCCATTTTCTCTGGCCTGGCCTTGAACCCAATCCTCTCTATCTCTGCTTCCATAGTAGCAGGCATTACAGGCATATGCTAGCATGCTCAAAAATACTCCCCATTTTTCCATGAGTGTTGACTTGAAAGACAGTGTGTTACTGAAGCCATGCTAAGGGTTACTCAGCCACACTCAGCGGTGTGGTACACCATGTGGGCAACAGGCATTGGCTTTC